AACATTGTAGGGAAGCTAAAAAAACAAATCAGGCACAAACGTAAACCTCCTAAAGCACGTAAAATACCTGCAAGAAAAATAACAACAAAAAATAGGCGCCGAAAAAAGTCTCCTAAAATGCACCAAAAGCGCAGAGTAGGAAAAATAAAAATAAAAAAGAAGCGCAGATCTAGGTACCCTACAGCACGTGTAAAGAGCGTCATCAGAACACCAGGAAAACCCAGACCCAGGGTTAAGTCCATTAAATCACACCGAAAGCCCACTATGAGAAATAAGAGAAGGAAACCCAAGCGGCGCCGATCGAAGTCCCCTAAAACATATCGAACGCGGAGTTCAAGAAGACAAATAATTACCGAGCGCAGAACTAGGTACCGTGAACTTCGGGAAAATAACATCGAAAAAAAACCAAGACGAAGAGCACATCGGAAGCATACCGCAAGAGAGCGAAGAAAAATTACCAACCGCAGATCAAGGTCCCCTAAATCACGTGGAAGGAAGATAAGAACGCCGAGGACATTCAAGCGCAGATCAAAGAGACTTAAAGTACATCGAAAGCACACCCTAAGAAACCGAAGAATGAAAACACTGAGAGGGCGCAGAAGGCACTCACGAAAGCCAAGAGAGGGAAGAAGGAAAGCATATGGCTCCCCTAGATTACTCAGAAGGCTCCAAAAAAAGCCAAGACAGGGAACAATGAGAATATATTGGTCCCCTAGACTAGACAGAAGGGACTTGCGAAAGGTAAGAGAGAGAAGAATGAGAAGATATGACTCCTCTAGACTACGCAGAAGGCGCCCAAGAGTGTCAGAAGAAAAAGGACGAATTCAAGATGATTTCATTCGACTTCTACGGCATTTCAGCCGTACAGGTCGAATGGAGTCCTACGGGAGACAAAGCTTGATGCCATCCTCAAGATCCACAAACAAGCGACGAACAGAGGTGGTTGAGAAGAACGTGAGACAAGGCGCATTGCCGAAGCCAGCAAGAACGCGAGTGCATAAGAGACAAGACAGGCGAACGCTTCAAATTAAAGACGGAAACACAGCACCACAGATCTCAGTGACGCGAAAAGAAGAAACGACGCAAGCCGGGACAGTGGAAAAGTTCCATCACCGTTCTAATCGGAGTAGTAGAGAACGACATCCATTGCCTGCGAGGCCACATTTTGTAAAAACTCTTCCTCGAGGCCTTCAACGTGAAGCGCAGCAAAAACGTTCAAACGTGACAAAACATTCCACTGCCGTCAGAGATGTTAAAACGAGCCACAAAATATTTTCAAATATATCCGTACCTTCCGCACCGAAGAACAGAATACCTGGCAAGCAAAACGAAACGTTTGTGGACAGTGGACTCTTCTGGTTCCCCGCTGCGTCAAAAATTGACTCGACTTGCGACTGGAAAATTCCTTCGAATGTCAGATGCCTGAACCGCCACCTGGCATTCGTACACTTATACCCCGTGAGTATTGAAGTCACTTCATTCTCTAGTGCCATTTAGATTTGTTTTATTGAAGCCAAATATATATTTATCTTTGTTACCAAGGAGTTCGTGGCAGTGTTTCCTAAGAACGAGGGTGTCCAAAAGTAGGCAATTTACCATTCTGTGAAAACGAAATGGTAAATTGGTAACGGAGGTCAAAGCAGACAAAACCTCTGGTCACGGGCACAAGATTTGGTCTCTTCTTGTATTAGTCTCTTAACATGACATCATATGTATTGTCCTGAAAAGCTTAGTGACTCCCCTCAGGCGGTCAAATGAACGCAAGACGTGTCTAACAACAACCACATCCTTACAATTGGTAGCATCTTAATTATGGTGTAGAAATTTCAACTACCCAAAAATTAGCTATAGGTAATACTATTAGAAGACGAATCACCTTTTTGAAGTAAAACGAATTTGAATACCGAGGCCAAAAGAAACACGAATGAAAGACGTCCTGCCCTATACTTTATTACTATAAAAAAAAAAAACGGTCGTCATGTTTTATACGAAACTGCAAATCAGACTGCGCTATAATCCGTTTCACTTTAAATCCGACAAAAGCCGACATGGAATGAAAGGTGCATCGACAAGATGCGCGTTATCTTTGCTGGTTTAAAACCAATTACACACAAAACGAAAAGGCAGGATCCTAAGCGAAAAAAACCAGTAGAAGTTTTCGTTATCTGGATTATGAAACAGGAAATCTATCTCGATTCCATCTAGATTTCAGGTTTTCGGGAATGTTTCTTTTGTCTGCGATCTGGATTTCAGCCTTCCAGAAACAATTCCAGTTAGATTTTCAGTTCCATTATCCAGATAGTGAAACGTTATACTGGGTTTTTCGGTAGGGATTGCAGAGAATTCACTGTGTGTGATTGGCTTTGTTGGCGACAGCGAAGGCGCAAAGGCGATGAGCGCCCCGACGATGCACCTTTGGTGAAGCTTGGTTGAGTCCATTGAATTGTGGCGCTGGCCGGGGGCGGACTTGAAGTGAAAAGGGGTATAAAGCACCAACGTTGCATGCTACCGTGTCAACGCTGTGGCCGGTCACACGTCGCAGCCCAGGATTGGTGACCGACGCGGTTCACAAATCGAGGTCATTGCACTCAGTACGACGCTTAAATAATAACACCATAGACAACGTCTGCTTAGTGACGACCTTCGTTAATCTGGTCATACCATTGAGAAAGAACCGCACCAATCGGTTATCCTTAATAGTTGCATAATCGCGCGTCACCGCGCAATATCTTTAGAAAAAACCCCTAGCGTATAATACTTTATTATTCTCTAAAAAAATAAAACCAAAAAGGAAAGAATAGCTATTTTCTGCTTTCTGAAAATTATGGTTTCACTTTCCATTCACCTTCAAGTAATGTTTGTCGCGTTGTCAAAAAAACACAAACTGCAATATAAAAAGTGTCACGAAACGAACATGTGTACACATGTTCGTTTCGTGACATTTTTGATATTGTGACATTTTTTACATTTAAAGAATCCTTAAGATTCTCTAAATAGAAATTTAAACATACACCTGACATAGGAATTTGACCAATGTAAAGGCAAATAATAATCAAGTTAACGTTATTCCTCAGCACGTCTACTAAAGAGAGATAGACTAGATGGCAATAGGATTCCTCAACAAATGGCCGAAACAGAGGACCTTGGGATTCACATTAGTGGCGAAGGTTTATTTCCGGCACCTCAAAGTTTACGAAACAAACTGTTGACAAACGCAATCCAAGAATGCATGCATCGGGAACAAGCAGAGCTAATGGATCCTGTTCACCTGTAAAATCCACTTCGTTATTCTCGTAATCCGTTTTTACAGACTTGAATGGTACTCATTCCAATTGATCACATTACTTTTACTACTTTTTTAAGTTGACTACTTTCATTATGTAGTAATCGAACGATTCATTTGATTACTTTTGGAAGGAATAAAATTACTTGTAACCGTTACTAATCCTTCAATTCCCCCCACCCCTTTTTTTCTTTTTTGTTTCCTCAAATATGTGGGTTTACGACCAATTAAAAAACATAGTCACCACATTCCCAGCTTAACATGCTGCGATACGTAGACTTTATCAGCTGCTAAACCCTGGGAACCATAATGAATAAAACCCTCGTTGCCATGGTCTACGAATGGAAATCAGGAGTTTTGTCTGGACAATTCACGGAGTAGTTTGTTGGGTTTCGAGCTGGGTCTGTCAAGCTCGAGTTCTCTACAAAAGCATTTCAGTGGGAACTTCGAAGGTTAATGTAGAATCTTTGTCCAGATTAACTGTTCTACCCACATCCGGCTCAGAGCTCATTTACAATCGTCTGCCCCCAAGATAACTAAATCCAGATAATGTAACTGTTAAGATGTGACAAGAAACGTAAGCACTTTGTCACACGCGTGTCGAGCGTTTGGTGTTCCACAAGAATCCACCTCTTTCGTCAAAAGTGGCACCAGAAGGCGGGAGAAGTGAGAAGCTTCTGTGTACTAATTTGGAGGCGAAAAATAAGTCATAATAAACTCAAGAGCAATGTCTCCGGAGCTGAATGTAGGTCACCGTAGCTCAGTAGAGCTAGCGTGCTTACTTGGAGGAATATTCGCGTTTGCTCGTACCAGGCCCACGTACAAAAAAGCCTCCAACAGGGAATCTGGAAAGGGTAGATAAAGACGATGAGTAGTCCGGCGATCCTCTTACAATAGGCCCGTTTTCAAACCTGGAATACACACGTCAATAAGCTTTATGTGATATATTAGAGCGGATCTCGTACTTATATTTATTTATATGTTTAATTTTATCCAGATAACTTTTTTTTTCTTTTCGGGAAGTGAGCAATTTTATTTTTACGGAGTTTCTCACTGTTCGAAGTGAAAACAGCACAAAGTTTCTAAAGTATTCGAAAAATTAACGGTTACTTGAATTATGTACAATTACTTTTTTCTCTCAAGTAATCAAGAAATAGAATTGAATACTTTTAGACCAGGCGTACTAGTAATTGTAATCGATTACTTTTTTCGAGTAACTTGTACAAGACTGGTCTTTTGTAACATCCCGAACAGGCACCCCCGGTGACTCAGACTGCTGGCAGAACGTACACAACAAGTCTTTGTGGATCGTATGCCCCGTATAGTGATGAGCCACTTCACCCTTCATCAATGTATGTACATGATTTTAATTAGTTTCCAGAAGTCCTTGTATATTGCAGGTGCCTACCTCATTGGGACTAGCCTAACAATACATTAATTTATTACAAATAATGATTCTCAGTCAAAACACCCGTTTATTCTGCATATAATTCACCTTGTTTTATTAAAAAAAATTTAATCGAGGCTATTTCTTTTAGCAGGCTTATGCATGTTATGAACTGGCAAAACATTACGCATAGTGATGGTGTGCTAGAATTTGCATCGGGCTTTCAAATTACGATAGTAATTCACGATTAAAACAACTAGTATATACAGGTTCTGATGCACATAAAATGTGCGGAGGCGTTCCGATATACACACATGTTTAAACGGGAACATGGTATTGGGAACGATTTGCCAAGTGGAACCCTGCTTCAGAAAGTGAGGGTATTCAACGGCGTCCGGAAGTAAAGATCCCTTCCACCATAAAAAGTTATTTTTGGAAGCTTATGTCATGCGTAAATCATTGAACGTTAAATAACATTACTCGCATTACGAACTCCAGTCCCCTCCTAACAGAAACGTTTATTGAAAGAGTTAATGCTTGCACATATCCAGGAACGTCGACGATGGCAATCTGGTGACTGGCCTGTTTCTCGAAAAGTTTGCGGTCGTCAATCCGGTGAGTGATTGTTCGACAGCGGACTTGAGTCTACCTTGTTCTTTCTCGTCTTGATCGGTTTCGTCCGACGGTGATTCATAGATTTTGGTTTCTTCTTTTTATTCCCCTCCATTCTTGCAGGGAGGTTACACGTTTGAGTGGGCATCACACTCGAGACCGGGAAATCTTCTACTGGCTGGTGTTCCTTTCCATCGGAGGACACTACACATGTGCCACCAACACAGACGTGTCGTGGGCAAACTCTTCGCCACAGGCGACGGAAGAAAAGACAGCAGAAAAGGCCTCGCGAACTTTTTCAAGGTATTGCATACCAACATCGCACACATAATTCACCACATAAGTGTCCTGAGGCAGTGCTCGTTTGCTGCAGTCGGGTGCAAATAAAATTGATAACTTGAAGTAGTCGATCAAAAAACTCGACCAGGAAAATAATTATAATTACTTGAAACACCTTTAAAATATACGTTTCGTTAAAATTGCTGCACCAAAAGTTTGAACCTCGTATCAACAGAAGCTGAAAGTATGAGAAATAGTAAAAACAAAAACCGACTTTATATGTCAAGTTTAACGCATTTTAAAATTTAAAATATGCTCGTTTTTCAAGAGTTTTAAGAATAAAACATATTTTTTTCGCGAACCTAATTCAATGTATCTATGCATATTCTACCAGGTTCAAGAAAAGCAATCCAAAAATGAGACCACATCCACTTTTTCCAAGCTATGGCCGACGCTATACATATCACCTAGGGCCCAAGGCAATCCCGGTGTTACAACGTGAAACACAATTTTCCTCCTTTTTACACGTTCTCTGCAGGTCTGTCAGAGGCTGAAGGCGCACGAAAGAAACAATCCATCCCGCAACTACTGGGGATTCCCCACCGTGCCCGTCAAGAGGCTGCCATTGGCGGTTCGAGTGCCCGATCCCATTTTGGGCGCTATCACTCCAGTCGCTCCTGTGGCCGCCGAACCAGTCGAAAGCTTCGCCCTTCGGCTGTTCACGGAACCGGTCGGGCTCTTCTCCGACACACTTCACTTCCACGACGGGCCAGCGCTGCCCTTCTTAAAGCCAGTCATGTTCGTGGCCGAGCCGACTCCGCCTCCGATTATCGATCCTGTCAGTGTTTTCGCGCACCCTCGGTGGGAATTTCCTGATCCTATCATGTTTCCTGAAGAGCCGCAGATGCTGATTCAACCACCTGACATGCTGTTTTTACAAGCGTAGGACGTCGCTATAAGTTTCGAGACTTTCTTACTAAAAATATATATATGCACCCGTTCGATTTATATCTTATACGACCTACGAAAGACCTCCATCAAAAACAATCTGAAAATTAAGCAGTTTTATTACCGGACCTCACTGTCTTAATTAGTTCAAAGCAATCTCTCGCATCGTATTCACGTATTGTAGTCTACATATAAGACAAAATATAATTGGTGCTATGCGCCACACCTATTTAAATAAGTTATTAATAATTGACGGTCGGAAGAAAACAATTTCATGTATGTTCCATCTGACAGGGGAAGTTTAACGAGCAACCAATGCCCTATCAAATTGACTGGTACGTTCTTCCTTAACAAAATAAAATACGACATTTTGTTTTTATATGGCATCATGAGGTATGGGACTATATGTGAATATAATAATTCTTAGTCGGGGTGGTCTTCATAAAAAGGTACTTCTTAATATAAAATCAATCGGCTCGACTGAATAATAAAATCTTTATACATAAAACCGACTGCGTGGATCAGTATTTGCAGCAAGGGGACCGCCCACCCGCTGTCGCGTCCTACAATATAAACAAACATATGGGGACGTCTAAGTAGGGTATGTGTCATCCTGGTGAAATTTACGATAAATCTATTCTTTAGACGGCCTGGCGCCGTCCGGGGCACAGTCATTCCTTCCGAGATAAAAAATCTCCAACGGCTTTTTACCTTAGTTCAAATCCTTGAAACATCAATCATAATACCTTCATCAAAAACCGTAAAGCTTGATTTTTAAGAGAGGATTCACAACACTTAGCTGATCCCCAAAAGTCTGTAGGTCATGTTTGATTTTAATTAAACATTCTGAACACGGATTCCTGGATATAATTAATTGTCTCACTTGTTTGTGTCCGTAGAAATAAAATTCCCAATATGTGAAAAAAAAAAAAAGACATTGTCCAGAGTATGCTTGTTTTCTTTGGAGACACCGGTAGTGCAGCTGCTAGGCTGTGTTGAACGCTAATAAGGTCAGTGTTGAAAGCATGAGCAAGTAAATTATCATTAACACTGCAAATCTACTTAGTAACATTAACTATTTTACAGATTCGTAGTTTGTAGCACGCCGTCTCTGCATATCGGCGATTTCTAAAGAAGTTCAAGCACTGCAAGAAAGGATTCCCAGAAAGGCTTGTCTCGGCACACATCATGTAAAAAAAGAATGCAGGAGGACGCAGAATCTTCGCCTTTAGGACTGAAACGCCATAGCTAAACATATAGACCTCTGCTTATTCCCAAGCCATGCAAGCGTGTTTGCGTGGCCTAGTTAATATAAAAAAGGGTCTGCGTGGCCTAGTCGGTATAGCGTGTCTGCGTCGCAACCGAAAGGTTAAAATCCCGCTTCCGTGTGACGTCACGTGTGTGACGTCACACGTTATGTCACAGGACGTCACACGCGTGACCTCACGTGTAATGTCACACGACGTCACGTGTGACGTCACGTTTTACATGACGTGATTGTGACGTTTTACACACGTGACTTTGACGTTTTACACACGTGACTGTGACGTCATTACCCTATCGACCCAATCAGGATTTTCCAGTCTCACCGACGCAGACACCGGCTTCTCTGTAGCACGAGCTCCTAAACGCAATCGAATTAATATATTTACAAGCTTTATTAACTGAAAAAATAAACAACATATCGCTGAAGGTCCAGGCTCTGCCCAAATGAGGTGGCAACGGTTCGAACCAGATGCCAAAGTTTCAGAAATACCCATTACCCCACTAAAAACGTTACGAGTGATTTTCTGAAAATTCCAATGAGTAAAGAGTGGCCGTTCTTAGTAAGTGGCGCCAATCAGCTCCATGTTTCGAGGGCTTCACCGGCCGCCTTTTCGTGGAAAATTTCAGAAAATCGCTCCCAACGTTTTAATAGGATAAGGGTTAGTCACGAAACGCGCAGGTATCTGGTTTGAACCACTACCGCTACCTTTGAGCGAAGAATGAGCCTTCGGCGATGTATGGTACAGGTTTGCAATAAAAGCAACAATTTTCAAGGGGGGCGGGGGCACTTTGTAGATTTAGATTTTAAGAAAAGCACGTAAATTAATATTACCTACATTAGGTATTTCAGGGCTGTTTTTGTAACATTAAATACCAGATTATTAACCTCAATATTCCACAGGATGTTATTCATCAACCTATAATATTTAGAGAAAGCCAGACTCTAATAACCCCTAAAGTTATATTTAGTAAAACTATAAAATCATACTTCTTGAAACCAGCACCAGGTCTCCTTCTTTGTAAGTACCAAGCCGACCAGCCCAGAGGAGCGAATGGTTGCAAGTTCCTCAAGCCGCACACGACCGATTTCATCGCAATTATTGAAACATCGCATTATTACTGCGGCAGAACTGAAAGCTTTTTTGTCATGATTTGACAAGGAAGCTTTAAAACATTCAGGCGTCTTTTTTATATATTATGTATGAGACGATCAATGTAAAGTTCATAATGTTATTTATTTTAAATTGCAGAAGTTCAAATGAGGATCTATAGTCACCGACTCCTTAAGAAACTATAGGGACTGGCGATTTCAGAGTATCTTACTAACGGTTAGCAGCCAATGAGAGGCCGGTATTAGCCGATAAGAACGCCGAAAAACAAATCACGAAGCAAGAGTGAATATAATAAACCACGCCAGGCGTTTCTTAGGCTGTCAGAGACCACTGGCGACGTGCACGATCGAAAGCGTCTCTGTGGTCGACATTCCGCGATTGACCAAATGCTGACTATAAAGTCAGCAAAGAATTTTTTTGATGACGTCATAGCCAGCGCGAGGTCAAGCATAGCGCTGAGGGTGCCTTCATGTGCGCTTTGACATTGAGGAACTCTACGCTGACCTCACGCTATGCGCTTGCTGATAGGAGCGTTCACCAGCTTAGTACCGCACCGCCAAAACTGTTGCTCATGGCAGTCTATAAGTAGCTGACGACACGTGAGCAGCGCTACATCAGCGCATCGCTGCGTGGGAGAATCGGCCTCAAAGCTTTATTCCCCTTCGACAAGATTCCTACTATAGTGACCCAAGCCCTCAATGTGTCTGATTCTCTGGTTACACTAGCACTCTCAACTGTCATTAAACCAACGATCGTTGGCATCTTCCAACTGTCATGGACCTCAACTGGGTTGTCCGGTGTTACATGGTACATAGGCCTAGCCACGGTGTAAGATACACTCTTTAGGTGAGGACACGGCGGAGCTGAATGCGCGACGCGAGGAATCAGATAGTGTTCCTTCGACGGGCATCCGAAAGGCTGCATCATTTCGCGGCCACCGTGCCCGCGGCTGACAGTGTCGCCGGCGGCCAAACGGCGAAACTGTGTGAGAGCGAAAAAAATGATCTCGTTGCCATGACACCCCAGGACCGCAATTTCGCCTGCTGAGCGTCTACGCCAAAAATATCCGCATAACAATAGACCGATCTCACCACCCAGTTTGACTACGCCAAGGCTGCCGCAGTGCATCGAGGGAGCTTTAGTCTTTCTGCACGTGCGACAACCTCGCTGGAGCTCTGCGCGTGTAGAGCATGAGGTGGCACGAGCTGTCTTGTGCACTGCTGCTTGCCTCCTACGAACTAAATTTAAGTTATGGAGGCATCACGCATGCGCCGAACGCTTGGTGACATCGGTCTATTAAGAGTCGCTTTGCACGTTTTTGCTTCGTTTCGAATTGCGACGGAGACATTTGGAACTCCAGTCGCCGTACGCTGCATGGAATGAAGATTGAAGAAGACGTGTGCGGCGTTTGACCACGCGACGCGGCTTCAAAGCGGTGACAATGGGCCGGAGATGCTTCGTCCAGAACTGCAGCTCAGGTCACCCTAGTTGCAAAGAAAAGGTCAGTCTGTTCAAGCTCTCATCCGAGCCCACACGTCTGGAAGCGTGGCCCAGGCAACTCCTCGCAAGCACCGCCCGCTTCGCCTTAAAGATTTTGCTTGCATCAAGCCTTTCACCAACGACATGATTGTGAAAGGACGATACTTCGCGGAGCTTGCGTTGCTTTGCTGTGTTATCCCCGCTATGTTTTGCCAAGAAAATATGAATCCCAACATTATGTGTTTAGTGTCTGATGCTAGCGAACCTGAGACCTAGAAAGGAATCAAATTTCAGGAAAGCGCCGACAGATACCTGCTTAGCCCGTTTGAATACCGCGCCAAATTCCTCTGTTTTAGTGTCTTCATAAAACTGCCCCACTGCCGTTGAGCCACGAAACTAAGACAAACGACGAATCTATGCCCAATGCCCGTGTCCCACTAGAGCAACAGACAGAAACAAACAACAGCGACAAGCCTCAAACCAGGGTCTTTCGTGATTTGACAGGCTTTGTAAAATAAAAGTGACTGTGCTCCAACACGAGCATCATGCACGCAAGGGTATCTTTGGCAGGCTTGCAATCACTCGTGCTTACTTCACGAGCACCGAACGACTAAATGCCTGCCAAAGGTACCATCGCGAGCATGCTGCATGGGTTTGAGGCTTGTTGTTGTCTTTTGTTTCTGTCTGTCGCTCTAGTGGGACACGGGCATAAGCAACACACATACTACAAGTGCCGGGTTATAAGGAACGCACCGCATGCACAATACGACTTTTTAAAAAAACATGTTTCCCATTGAAAAGCGCAGGAGACGAGGCCAGCCGACCCACGGGTCAACGAGTCATCTGCCGGCGCTGCTTGAAACTATAATGAGAGGGAGAAAGAGAAAGAGTGAAAAGCGAACTTTATCGGCACGTAGCAAGGAGCGCGCTGTCCTCACCTGAAGAGTATTATCTTACACCGTGGGCCTAGCAACAACAGTTGAGATGCGCGTCATGTGACCCACATGCCAGAAAAATAATTTGAGAAGAATTGTTCTTTAAAAAAGTAAATACTACACTTTTGAATTTAGTATACTGTCTAGTGCAAAATACGCAATGAAAACAATGGGCGCAATTGAAAGCACGGATAGTGCCCAAGCAT